CGAGTTCTGCTCCCAGCTGCCTGTCATTAGCCGTCTGTAAAGGGGAGATCGCAGAGGGCGCGCAGCCTGCGTGGTATGATGCCTTCCCGGTTGTCGGCAGCGGGCACTGCGGAGTGGCCATGAGACAGAAGTGACATACAGGGGGTGGGGGGTTAGTGATGTCGCCCACTGCTCTGAGCAGTTTCTTATTTCCCGGTTTGTAAAAAGCTGCAGACGCTGACTTTGACAGATCACAGTGGCTCGTGTCATGAAAGAGAACCTGTCGTTTAGAAATAAATTTGGCGCTGTGGATGGAGGGTGGTGATGTACTTGGTTCTGGTTAGGCTTGGTACTCTCAGACATGCATTCTGTTTCATGTAACTTACTGGCAGCATTCAGCCTGGGCTTCATAAGAGCACCAATAAGATGTTCAGATATGTTTCCTCTCAGCCCCAAAAACTGTTTGCTTAAGATTGCTGTACCCCTGTGTAGGAGTTGGCTGGGTCTCGCCCACTAACCCAGTGGTTCTCAACCTCTCTAGGGCCGGGACCCCTGGTAACATTTGCCAAGTTGTGGTGACCCCCAACGGAGGGCTGGACTCCAGAATTAGTAAGGCGCTGGACTTGGGGCTAAAAAAAGAAGCACACTCACTAGAATTCAAGCCCTTCCCTGCCTCCTGCTACCTGCTTGCCTGCTCTGTCTCCATGCAGCCTTCTCAGCCCACAGCACTGCTTAGACGCCCGCCTTCTGCAGAGCTCACACTGTATGGGAGGCAGGAGGACAGCAGCGGCTGTGAATAGAAAAGCCCCGCTGTACACACTCCCCGGCCACTAGATGACGCTGCAGCGGCCAGGGAGGGTGTATAGCGGCACTTTTATATTCACAGCCTCTGCTGTCCTCCTGCTGACTGACACTGACGCGCTATGAGGAGGCTGAGGGACCTCTCACCTAGCGCAGCAGAAGCGGAACCTGCGATCCCCTCAACAGTAAGTTGCGACCCACTTTTGGGTCGTGACCCACAGGTTGAGAACCGCTGCACTAACCGATAGGGTCCTGCATACAATTAGTGCACAACTGGCTAGGATTTATTTTTACTACTTGCAACCTTTCATTAAAGGAGAACTATGGGGTTAAGGCTTTTCCCCATAGTTCTCCTTAGGGTAACGGGAGGACACAAACTAGCGTCCTCCCGTCACCCAAAGCTCAGTATATAGGGAGCTGTAGCCCGCAGTATACTGAGGCGTCGCAGCTGAAGCGGATCCCGACAATTGTGTCGGGATCCGCCCAGCTGCGTGAGTGACAGCTGGCTCTGCCTATCTAGAGGCAGAGCCAGCTGTACCCGCCCCCTCCCCGTCCGTTCCGCCAGTCAGCGCTGGTGGATCAGAGCGGGGAGGGGGGAATCCAGTCCCTCCCCTGTCACGGCAGAGAGCTGTGACAGGATCGAGAGGTGAGCGAACGCTGGTATGTGTTCGCTCACCTCCCGATCTACTGAGCCGACCTGTGACAGTCTCATTGTCACAGGTCGGCTAGAACTATGAGGTGAGTGAAAAGCACCCCCCTTATAGTTCTCCTTTAATAAAGCTGGCTGTGTGTCCATTTGGAGAATACCTGCTGTCTGAAGTCTGCTAATGCATCCTCCTCTATACCTTTCCTCAAGGAAAGTGGGTCCCAAGAACAGTGAACTCCACTAAATGGTGGAGAATGCGGGCAACTGTCTAATTACACTGTAAAATGGAGGCTTTATGAAAGTGACTGCAGTGCAGGCCGAAAGTGCCAAGAAGACACAAATTGCCAACATGCTGAAATGATGAAGCTGTGGGCTGACCAGGTTGTTGCAGTTAGAATAGCCCGGCAAATGGAATCGGCAAGAAATGCAGCACTTTATCTCATCCTGAATCATTCAGTCCCCAGCTCATACTTCCGTTGGGAATTAGTGTAAAAGCCGAATTCTAACCAGGTAAATGTTTGCCATTCTGTTCGGTCAGTTTGTGCTTTACATACACCAGCACACCTGCCACACTGCTCCACTAGGGGGGTGACTTTACTATTAATAAGCATTGTGACACTACTCCGGTCCTCCCTGGGCTCGCCCCCTCCCTAGGAGCAATAGGAGCCAATCAGGTGTTCTGCTTGCACATGGGACAATGAGAAACCTACTGATAGGAGAGAGCAGAGTTATGAACGCATTCATTTGCCTCTGCTCCTTTATTGTCCAATCACAGACCGTGGGTGGGGAGCTGACCGTGCTGTGTCGGGTAAATCTCAATGCTGGCTGGACAGAGAGAAGACTCCTTTTGGCATATTTATTTCCATACAAATAGGCTCTCGCTAGGCTGTTACCGTGATGGGATTTGGGGTGCCAACAGTTGATCTTGCGTTCCGTTTCTTGAATATCAGCCCACCTTCCATTGTTTAATAGTTGGAAACATGAATAAGACTTGTCTGAGGCGGTGTACGACATCGGTGCTGTGTACCTATGGAGGTATTCCCACTGGCCACCCTGGAGAATATTGGCATTATTCAGCCTTAGGGGTACTTCTCGTCCTCCCACACAGCTGTGTCACCCTGTTATTATGTGTGTCGCCTTGTCATTATTATGTGCCAGTGTCTCCCGGGAGTGTAACACGGCTATTCTATCTCTACAGATGATGAAACATGCCTGGGATAATTATCGGCAGTATGGCTGGGGCCACAATGAGCTCAAGCCCATCGCACGGAAGGGCCATTCCACAAATATCTTCGGTAAGACTGGCTACTTATTGACACCCTGCCTTGTGCCCATCACAGGTATACTCGTCTGTGCCCATCACGGGTATACATGTCCGTGCCCATCACGGGTATACATGTCTGTGCCCATCACGGGTATACATGTCTGTGCCCATTGAGGTCTAAGCTTGTTTGCACAGCCTGGTTTGTCCAATCCGTTTATGTGCCATTCCCTGCCCTATCACTGTGCTGACATCACTGGGCTTCTGCCTTGTATCCCAGCCGCGGTTAACCCTGCAAGGTCCAAACCTGCCATGCCCTGCCCTATCACTGTGCTGACATCACTGGGCATCTGTCCTGTATACCAGCCGAGGTTAACCCTGCAAGGTCCAAACCTGCCATGCCCTGCCCTATCACTGTGCTGACATCACTGGGCATCTGTCCTGTATACCAGCCGAGGTTAACCCTGTAAGGTCCAAACCTGCCATGCCCTGCCCTATAACTGTGCTGACATCACTGGGCATCTGTCCTGTATACCAGCCGAGGTTAACCCTGCAAGGTTCAAACCTGCCATTCCCTGCCCTATAACTGTGCTGACATCACTGGGCATCTATCCTGTATACCAGCCGAGGTTAACCCTGCAAGGTCCAAACCTGCCATGCCCTGCCTTTATAATTGTGCTGACATCAGGGGGCATCTATCCTGTATACCAGCCGAAGTTAACCCTGTAAGATCCAGACTCGCCATGCCCTGCCTTATAACTGTGCTCTCTCTCCAGGTAACTCACAGATGGGGGCCACCATAGTGGATGCCCTGGACACCCTCTACATCATGGGCCTCATAGATGAATTCCGGGATGGACAAGAGTGGGTGCAGAACAATCTGGATTTCGGTGTGGTGAGTTTCCCGCCTGAAAATTTGCTTTTGAAAGAAAATTTCCCTTATTATTTTATTTTTTTTCCTTTTATTGTACGCGTCACATAATAATAAATCGAAGTATGGAAGTGCTGCGTGCTGACTGTAATTGCCACGATCGATATAAAACATTATAACATTCATTATAATCATTTCAATGCCAGGGGCAGAGTTTATGTAGGTTGACAGCGAGGCGTTCCGATAGATGCAAGCTGCAGGGTATGGCAGGAGCATTTATCAACATGAACACAGGCTGGCTGTGTAGTGCCTCCCCTGTACAGGTAGAACCATATTGCTTTGTAATATCGCCTTCGCACGCCGTACCGCTATACCCCAGAATCCAGCAGGTGCTGGAACAACTGGTGGATGGCACCACAGTATACAATCTAGGACAGTGTTTCTCAACCAGTGTAACCTCAGGACCCACATTTGTCCTCGGTCATTAAAGGAGAACTATGAGGTGAGTGAAAATGACTCATAGTTCGAGTCGACATGTGACAATGAAACTGTCACAGGTCGGCTCTATAGATCGGGAAGTGAGAGAACACATACCGTCGCTCGCTCACTTCTCGATCATCTCCCTGCAGAGAGCCGTCACTCACGGCTCCCTGCAGGGGTTGCCCCCCCCTCCCCTGTCCGATCCTCCAGCACTGACTGGCGGAACGGACGGGGGAGGGGGCGGGTACAGTTGGCTCTGCCTCTAGATAGGCAGAGCCAGCTGTCAGTCACGTAGCTGGGCGGATCCAGACAATAATGTCGGGATCCGTCCCGGCTGCGGCGTCTCAGTATATAGGGAGCTGAAACTCGCTTTGGGTGACGGGGGGACGCTAGTTTGTGTCCTCCCGTTACACTTAGGAGAACTATGGGGAAAAGCCCTGACCCCATAGTTCTCTAAGTCACGATCCAAGTCGCACTGCCATGAAACGTACAGCATTAGGGTACTGTACATTCCGGTGCGGACGCTGGAACTGTGGGTGGGAGGTGGGTTTGGGGTGCCATTAAAATGAACGGCAATGCAACACGCCTCCCACACCGATTGCGCGGTAGGTGCGATTGCGTGGCAGGGTGCATTAATCACGCGGGACTGTGCAATTAACGCACTGTACTAGTGTGAACAGGCCCTCAAAAACACTGACCGGCGCACAACCACAGACATTCTCACACACACATACACGCTCCCAAAAAAATCTTTTTTTCTTTTTTTCAAGATGTCCCCCACGTCTCCCTACCCTACGAGGACTGGAGTGGATCCTTAGTCTGGGGTCCAGTGTGGGCTGCTGTGCTGTGCCGGAGCTCCATCCATATGTGCATTGCTTGTGCAGCTCCCCATGTGCGCCCTGTAGAGGTGCCGGGAGCCCGAATGTGACATCACTCCGGTCCAGGCACCTCTACAGGGCACGTGAGGGAGCTGAAAGCATTGCACGTATGGACGGAGCTCCCTCACAGCCATAGCTCCAGCACACCTCCACCTCAAGATGACCAGGCAGCATATTTTCGAATGTCTGCTTGGTGCAAGAACTGACAGCGCTGCGCCAGGGGAAGGCTGAGGAGACTCTCACCTAGAAAAGTGGAAGCCATGCGGTGACGCACTGAACACGGGGTCATGACCCACCAGTTGAGAACCAAGGCTCTGTCCGCACACCATCCTGCTTCAGAATATCATCTGTATTCGTATTCCATGACATGTGAGTGTATGCTCCTCTGTCACATGTCCTGCTGAAGGAATACGAATGAAGATGATATTCCGGAGCAGAATGTTCTAGAAATGAATATCATGCTTTTGTAATAAAGTGGAAATATCAGTGAGCGAAATATCCATTGCGACCAACACAACAAAGCAAGGGGAGTGCACCTCCATTGGAGTCACGTGGGGCGTCCCTCAGAGGAATAATAAGGACGTGAACATCTACCCAACAGGGGACTGGGGGGACATGAGCACTGAGAGAGGATCCACTGACCATAGAGAAGTCCATGGAAAGGATCAGCCTGGTGTTTACTAATAATGATAATATAGAAGAGGGAAAGCTTCCACTTCCAGGTGGGAACATTGGCTTTACTGAATACACTGAAATAGGTGACTGCACAGAATAATATGCTGGTCCGGCCTCAAGATGGGGGTGGGGCAGTCAAATGGAAGAGGCGGGAGAGAAGTTTTTGAGTTCATTTTGGCCACATGATGCTGTTTTGGTTGCTCCATTGAAGTTTTGGACTTTCTTTCTTTTGTATTGCAGAATTCAGAGGTGTCCGTATTTGAAGTGAACATTCGATTCATCGGTGGCTTGCTGGCTGCGTACTACCTGTCCGGACAAGAGGTGAGAGTCTAGATCAGAACTTCAGGGGTGGGTCACTGTGCTGGGAGTACTGGGCACTTCCTGACCCGTATCTTGTTATCAGTGATGGGTCACTGTGCTGGGTGTACTGGGAACTTCCTGACCCGTATCTTGTTATCAGTGATGGGTCACTGTGCTGGGAGTACTGGGCTCTTCCTGACCCTTATCTTGTTACCAGTGATGGGTCAATGTGCTGGGTGTACTGGGCACTTCCTGACCCTTATCCTGTTACCAGTGATGGGTCACTGTGCTGGGTGTACTGGGCACTTCCTGACCCTTATCTTGTTACCAGTGATGGGTCACTGTGCTGGGTGTACTGGGCACTTCCTGACCCTTATCTTGTTACCAGTGATGGGTCACTGTGCTGGGTGTACTGGGCACTTCCTGACCCGTATCTTGTTACCAGTGATGGGTCACTGTGCTGGGTGTACTGGGCACTTCCTGACCCGTATCTTGTTACCAGTGATGGGTCACTGCGCTGGGTGTACTGGGGACTTCCTGGCCCGTATCTTGTTATCAGTGATGGGTCACTGTGCTGGGAGTACTGGGCACTTCCTGACCCCTATCTTGTTACCAGTGATGGGTCACTGCGCTGGGTGTACTGGGAACTTCCTGACCCGTATCTTGTTATCAGTGATGGGTCACTGTGCTGGGAGTACTGGGCTCTTCCTGACCCGTATCTTGTTACCAGTGATGGGTCAATGTGCTGGGAGTACTGGGCACTTCCTGACCCTCATCTTGTTACCAGTGATGGGTCACTGTGCTGGGTGTACTGGGCACTTCCTGACCCGTGTCTTGTTACCAGTGATGGGTCACTGTGCTGTGTGTACTGGGAACTTCCTGACCCGTATCTTGTTACCAGTGATGGGTCACTGTGCTGGGTGTACTGGACACTTACTGAACCTATACTTTTTAGCAGTATTGGGTGACAAATTAGAGGTAATGTTCTCCTCCCTTCCTTCCTACATCGCTGCACCTCGCTGGCCCTCCATACACATCCCCAACTTGTCTCCTTGGTGCAGTGCAGACCGTCGCTGTCACTTACTACAGTATATACACACCACAAATCTGACACATTCTCTCAAGGTTTGTAGCATTATAATTAAGTTCAGCTGCTGCCAGTGGCGGCTAATTACAATGTAACGATTTTTACACTGTATTTAGCTGAGGCAAACCTCAAAATCTCCGAAGGTTTTAGAAGAATAAAATTCTTTCCTGATTAAATCCTCATTAATTCTAACTAACCCTGATTAACCCCTTACGTCTCCCTTCAGTCCTCCGCTTTTATTTCTGTAGTTACACGTTGCTTTGACACATTTTTGTTTAGTTGGTTCATTTTTATTGTATTAACTCCTTAAGGACCGCAGCCTTTTTACATGTTATAATCCTAATTTTAAGCCTGAAAATTACTTAAAACCCCCCAAACAGGATATATTTTATGAAAGCCAAGACCCTATAGAATCAACTGGTGGTAGTTGCAAATGTTTATGTTGCACGACATTAGCACAACATATTATCAAACCCAGAAATTTGTCATAGTTCTCCTTTAACGAATTCTGCTGTTTTGCTGATACTCGCTCCATGGCTCCGAGCGCCAACAATCATCCCGCGTTCAAAGGCTGTTACATCCCGTTGCTTCCCCGAAATCTTCAGAAACAAATCACTTCAACTGTGATACCAACTGGTAACCAACCCGCTTCCCTATTTATAATGGTCTGGCCCTCTAGCAACTTCAGCGCCACATTATAGCTCATTTGCCTACAAACGTCAGGTGGTCATAATAATCCGGCGACTCGGTGTATATAATAATCCGGCCACTCAGTGTAGTTTATTATTCACATGCCGCTTGACAAAGGGATCCCCCGAAGTCCCGTAACAGTGGCGGTCTATGAATATATTTGCACCTAATTGTAACAGGTACTTCCTGAAATACCTGAGGGTCATTTATCATCAGAGTATCACTGAGCGGGGCCTGTATGTAGGGCGCTGGAGGAGAGCCACGTGCCTTTATCCTCCCATAGCAACAAATCTGCCCCGGCTCTCTTTTTTTTTTTCCAAGTTACATGGTGAAAGAAAGTGGCACGTTTTTAGTCCTGTGGCCTGTGGGGACTGTCTGGGCTTTCTGCATCGAATTCTATTGCGCACACGGAGCAGCGCCGTGTCATATCCTAGCACACAGCAGGGTGGATCACCTTCAGCCGCGGGTAAGCAAGTTTGTTTAGTCACAGCACATGTACGGGTGTGTGGAAATTGCATTGATACTCGATTTTAAAGTTGCCGATTGGGAAGTGACAAGGAAAGGACGTGCTGGGCTTTCTTTCCTCTCCTCTGGGTGGCGCTGTCTTATCACGCCAACACATCGCACTTCTGTTATTAATTCAAAAGCTTTCAACGTGAAAGCATCTGAAATACGTGGCACTCAGTCCATATATTCCACATGTTTTTGCAACGCTTGCTCTGCTCTTTGTTTTAGGATTGACGGTGTGACAAAAAGAAAAGGAAACATTCACAAACAGTAACACGCAGGGTCAATCAGGAAGCCGGGCAGCGTGTCATTAGATGCCCCCCCCCCCGGCTTTCTGATTGGCCAGAAAGCCAGCTTCATGTTCATCCTTTCTCGTCCCCTGGTGGCGAGGGAGCATAGAGAAGGCTTCCCTGCTAATCGGGAACCCGGGTGAAGTCCCAGAATACCGACACTGGGACGTCCAGTGTCGGTATTCGGTATCGGCGAGTACCGAATAAAAAATATCTGTGCTTGATGCCGAAAAACCAGTATCGGTGCATCCATAATTTGAATGCAAAAATTTATACTCAGGGTAAATAAATGAGTTCTGACCATAATAAATAAATGAAATATATACAAAACCATTATAGACTTGAGGTAGGAAGATGAAAGATTTGCTCAAAATGGCCTTAAAGGAGAACTATGGGGTTAAGGCTTTTCCCCATAGTTCTCCTTAGGGTAACAGGAGGATACAAACTAGCGTCCTCCCATCACCCTAGGCTCAGTATACAGGTGAAACTCGAATAATTAGAATATCGTGCAAAGTTCATTTATTTCACTAATGCAACTTAAAAGGTGAAACTAATATATGAGAGAGACTCATTACATGCAAAGCAAGATAATTCAAGCCGTGATTTGTCATCATTGTGATGATTATGGCTTACAGCTCATGAAAACCCCAAGAACCCCAAATCCACAACCTCAAAAAAAGTAGATTATTACATGCAATCAATAAAACAAGGATTGTACATGGAACAATATCGGACCTCTAAAAAGTACAAGCATGCATATGTACTCAGTACTTGGTTTGGACCCCTTTTGCAGCACTTACTGCAATTACTTTTGCACGATATTCTAATTATTTGAGTTTCACCTGTATAGGGAGCTGTAGCTCGCAGTATACTGAGACGCCGAAACGGATCCCGACAATGGTGCTGGGATCCGCCCAGCTGCGTGACTGACAGTTGGCTCTGCCTATCTAGAGGCAGAGCTAGCTGTACCCGCCCCCTCCCCCGTCCTCCCCCCCCCCCCTCTCATAGTTCTTCTTTAATTCAGACAAAAAAAAACTGCAAATGTGCTACAGCCCAGTAGCTAGCAGAAGTATCGTTTTAAATACCTGGGTGAGAACCTTCTGCTGCAACCTGCTGTTCCTTGACAGCATAGTAGTATCAGGATGCTAAAACCCGATCAGCGTCACTCTGCAGCCCTCATATAGTGATCACCTCTTGGCAGCGTCTCTACTAATGGATGAGCGCACGGAGTCTGCCGAGAAGTTGCAGATTGTGCATTACTGCTGCCGGAATTGAAAAGTTTAAGGCGCTCGCGTCAGCAATTCTGAGGTCTTTAAGAGCTGAGAACATTGCAGTAGATTTGTGTGCGAGACACCGCGCTGTAAATTCACCACCTCGCCTCTCGCAGGGCTCGGCCGAAGATTCACTTTCCTCTGGATTTTAGAGCAGCGTAACCAGCGCAGGTGTCAGGAGAGCGGCTCCCTTTTAGTTGTTGATATAGGGAGCAGCGTTTCGCCGTGCCCCGTGGAGCGCCCACAGCGCCGCCTCTCCCCGTAAATCACCACACAATGCGCGGAAGACGTATTTACAAGCCCTGGTGCCGAATTAGCCGCGCTCCCCTCTGTGCCGCTCGCCAGCCATTTTTTGCGGTTAGTTTGTATCTTAACGGCGCGGGGATTAGATATATAATCCTCATAAATACACTTCTGGTCCGACGCACGTACGCCTTTCCCGGAGACGGCGCGCCGCGATACCTGCTGAGTGCATTAGTGCGCCAATGGCCGCGCGAGAACGTATGCGAGTCAAACCCAATCTTCTTGTATAGAGGCGCACGCTGAATTCTCTTTACGTTTTCAGTGGGAAATAAAGTTAAACGTGAAGTTGAGCAATCATATCGTTACGTTCAGAAAGTAAACTCTCTCCCCTGGCTATCTCTCCTTTCTGTCTTTATTAGCTGCCTCTCCTCGCTCTCTCCCCTGGCTGTCTCTCCTACTCGCTGACTCTCCTTTCTGTCTTTATTAGCTGTCTCTCCTCGCTGTCTCTCCTCTCTCTCCCCGGGCTCTCTCCCCGGGCTCTCTCCCCGGGCTCTCTCCCCTGGCCATCTCTCCTCTCCCCTGGCCGTCTCTCCTCGCCCTCTCTCCCCTGGCCGTCTCTCCTCGCCGTCTCTCCTCGCCCTCTCTCCCCTGGCTGTCTCTCCTAGCCCTCTCTCCCCTGGCTCTCTCTCCTCGCCCTCTCTCCGCTCTCTCTCTCCTCGCCCTCTCTCCCCTGGCACTCTCTCTCCTGGCCCTCTCTCTCCTCGCCCTCTCTCCCCTGGCCCTCTCTCTCCT